TTGGCCAATGCACTGACTGTCAGTGTGAAGATGCGTTTTTTGCATAGTTCCCCACATATTTTTGTCACTAACGGCATTGGTCTTCCCGGCAGGAGCTTCTAGCTAAAAGAACTGATATTGGAAACATCCCTTTAAAATTTCTGTCAGGAAACATCCCTTTAAAATTTCAGCTTTCTAGCCTTCCTGGTTCCCGAGTTAGCAACTTACCCGCAAAAAACTTTCACAGACCCGTGCGTGGGTACCACGCATACTCGAAGACTAGGTTGAAGCTCATTAACACCTAAGCTGACGGGGAGCATTTCCTCAAAAATTACAGCCTTTTGGCTTTTCAAGTTACTGAGTTAACAACTTACCCGTAAAAAACTTCCACGGGCCCATACGTGGGTACCACGCACACCCGAGAGCTGGGTTTGAACTCATTAAGACCTACGTGGGCGAGGAACGTCCACTTAAATTTTTAGCTTTCCAGCTTCTCCGGTTCCCGAGTTAGCAGACTGCCCGCAAAAAACTTTGGCGGGTTCGTACATGAGCGCCCACTTTGGGGACAGGGACCCGTACAAGCAAGCAGATTAAGTTTCCAAAGTTTCAGCCCTGTAGTTTTTGTAGATCTCGAGATGAAAAATCGGTACAGACGAAAACAAAGACACATATACACACAGAAAATCCCCGTCAATATGCGTTTTCTACATTGTATCGATGCAAAAAATGCATAAAAATCGTCGACAAAACAAAAGGATTTACTCAACGACTAATGAGGAAGCTGAATTCCGAAAACAGGAACGTTGCTAGGATCGGTGCAACGATGTTCTCATCTGCTACTAGTATCATCAGATGGCTGAATACCCAAACAAAGAAGCTGAAATTTTACCTTTGCGATTTCATTGCCAAGGTCATCAAAAGAACGCGGTACATAAGCACCAGCTTCTTTTAGCGCCAAATTTTTCGCGCTTGCTGTTTCCGATTTTGCATTAGCTGATGCACCGGCATGGCCAAATTGGATCTAAAATACATTCTCGAAATTATTATTTATACCTCTACATGTGACATCAAATTGAATAATTGGCCAACGCACGGGTTGTCCGTGCGAAGATGCGTTTTTTGCATAGTTCCCCGCATTTTTATCCCTACCGGCATCGGCTTTTTCGGCAAATCCTTCTAGCTAA